GTGTTCTGCAAAGCGGTCCCCGAGTCTCCGCTTGGTTTCCCCGATGTAGAGGAAGCCACACCGGGTACAGCGGATGCAGTATACCACATTGGCAGATGTGCAGGTGAACATCTGCTTGATGTGGAAAGTCTTCTTGGGGCCTGGGATGGGGGTGAGGGAGGAGGTATGGGGGCAGGTGTAGCACTTCCTGCGGTTGCAGGGAAAAGTGCCGGGTGTGGTGGAGCTGGAGGGGAGTGTGGAGCGGACAAGGGAGTCACGGAGAGAGTTGTCCCTCCGGAAAGCAGATAAAGGTGGGGAGGGAAAGATGTCTTTGGTGGTGGGGTCGGATTGCAGATGGCGGAAGTGTCGGAGGATGATGCGTTGGATCCGGAGGTTGGTGGGGTGGTACGTGAGGACGAGGGGGATTCTTTTTTGGTTTTTATTGCGTGGACGGGGTGTGAGGGATGAGGTGCGGGAGATGTGGGAGACACGGTTGAGACCTATGTCAAGTTTGTAGAATTAAACATAGCAATTTTGATAGATGGGTGAGACATTAAAGGTAGAAAAGACATATGAGGCTCTTAGAGAGATTATTCTGCTGGAGGAGTTTAAGAACTTACTTCCAGAAGTGATAAGAACTCATGTTGAGGGACAGGAAGTTAAAACAGTGAGAATAGCCGCTGAGATGGCGAATGAATACACATTAGTGCATAAATTGAAATTTAGCATCTGACAGCAATTTCATTCCATGGCAGATAGAAATTGGGAAAAAGGGAGATCCTTCAATGAAATACAAAAAGTAGTTCACACTGGGAGCAGTTTACCACATGTGAAAAAAATAAACCCAAGAAGGTGAAAAGGAGGTGAAAGGCCTCAGGTGTTTTCACTGTAATGGAGTGGGACACAAAGTCACAGTGCTGGTAGTTGAGGAAAGGTATTGGGAAAAAGGATGTGGTAAAAGAGGCTGAACCAGTGGGATTAGTTGAGGTACTGAAGGTAATCCCAAAAGAAGTCGAGGAGCTGCTGGACAGTGCACAGCCTAGACACGGGCTGGATAGTGAGATAGTGACCGATCTCTACAAAAACTTCACCTCTGTGTGTAAGGTTTACTCAGAAAGAACAGGGGGATAAGGTAAAGAAATTAAAGTATTGAGAGATACGAGAGTCAACCAGTCCCTAATAGTAACAGATGAAAGTATTTGAACTCCTTCTGAAATGTTACCTGAGAGTGTGGTAATCTGTGGAATAAATAGAGTGATATTTAGCGATCCCCTATGTAAAATCAGGTTGGAAAGTCCAATCAAGAACGGGGAAGTGACAGTGGGAGGGATTGAAAGAGTGTCTATTCCAGGAATACAGTTTGTTCTTGCAAACAACCTAGCAGGGTCAAAGGTGTGAGTGACGCCCCTTGTAGTGGAGAAGCCGAAGGAAAACTAGGG